ATGGCACGGCAGACCTCTCCTGACTGGCCCACTGCTCTCCTCAGCAGTGCATGCCTATTTCACTGCCTGTTCTGCTTCCCACTGTCTCTGGTGAATCTTCTCACTAATGCTGTACCTCTGGCCTGTACCCCAACTCTGTATGCATAACAGGATGCACTAGAGACAAAGTGGAGAGCAGAACAGGCAGACCCACTGAAATACATTGCTAAGGGGAACAGCGGACCTGACAGGAGAGGTCTGCTGTGCCTTGTGGGTCAGCTCCCTGGCCAGGGATTGAATTCGTGCTGCAGTGACCGCGGACAGCTACACAGTGCTGTGCTTTAACCTGCTGTGCCAACAGGAAGGGCCCACGTTAAAGATTTTAAACAAACATTTTGACTCAGTCCAGGAGCAACTCTTTAAGGAATAACTTTCCTTCAAGCTCTTACAGAGTAAGGACTCATGGTTTTCACCTAATAAATTCAGATTTTACATATGACAAAGCCTTAATATTCAGCTATGGAAATTTCTGTTTAACTAATTTTCTTGTTGACTCAAGACTAATTTTATTAAAAGAATTTTGGTTTCCCCTCAGTATAGAGAGTAACTCTAACTTGTTGGAGCTCATTATTTTCTTCTAAGTACACTCTGCAGAATCAATTAGGTTTGCTTTTTTTTTTTTTAAAGATTTATTTATTTATGCACACAGAACTGGGGTACAGGCCAGAGGTGCAGGGTCAGTGAGAGGTTTCACCAGAGACAGAGTGGGAAGCAGAACAGGTAGATTGATGAAGTACATAGGGGGTGAGACAGGAGAGGTCTGCTGTGCCCTGTGGGTCACCTTCCTGGCTGGGAATTGAACTTGTGCTGAAGTGGTTGCTGCTAGCTTCGTAGTGCTGCACTTTAACCAGTTATACCACCAGAGAGGCCTCAGATTTGATTTTTGACAGAGGATCTTAGAACAGTTTAGACCATCAAAAATGAAACCTTCCCAAGGCAAAGCTTCCACTACCTAACACTGTATTATACATCAGGAGCCAAGAATGGTGACTCCAAGTAACCATGCTCACAAGAGACAGATGCAATTATTTCAGAGCAATTTATTAATTCATGATCAGGATAATGTTCTGAGATCATAAAATACCATGTGTCCCATCCAGACAAGTCCCTCCTGTTCCAGAAGGCAAATCATTCATCGGCCAGTGGCTCAGCAGGCACGAAGTCAGTCTTTTGGACTGGCTGATGAGGTGACTTGCTGGACCAAATGAAGCATCTGCCAAATTCTGCATTTTTTAAGTTTGTCATTTTCCAGGTGAGAAATTGGGAGTTGTGCCTCTCTGATTCACATTATCTCTATCTGGTCCACATTATCGATACTGGTCCAGCTGGAGAGATATCCACTACCTCAGTTCTGCCTCTCTAGAGTTCCAATGGCTCATCATGACTAACATTTGTGTGATTCCAAACTCTGTGGGTGTCCACTTACGCCTTCCCTGGCTAGCAGCTAAGCTCACCCTTCTGCAAAGCTTTCAGTAATTAACCCAGTTAACCAGTCCTAGCTCCCTACTGGTCAAGTTCTTGGCACCCATCATAAATACGATCAAGTGTTACCAAACCGTATGCATAGGGACCATGACATTTTATGACAATGCCAAAAGAAAAGGAATAGGGATGGAATGAATCCATACTGATGTCCACACACACTTAGGCAGTTTCCTCCCATGGGTTTTTCATGTTTTTTTCTTTGAAAACTCAAAATATGTTTTTGTTTATCAAGGCATTTGGTTAGGTTGGCAAATTGAGTTCTTGAAGATACTACTTCCAAGAAGGGCAAACTCTCTGAGAAACTTGTACTTTGTTTCTCCCTCTATACTTTTTGTTTCAAAATTTATTTATGCAAACAAAAGCTGGGGTGTAGGCCAGAGGTGTGGAGGGCCAGCGGCAGCATGGGGAGCAGAACAGGCAGAATAACTGCTGATGGGGAACAGCTCTTGTACTGCAGGGGCTGCAGGTAGCTTCATAGTGCTGAGACTTAACCCCTCGAGTCACCAGGGAGACCCGTCTCCCTATACATTTGCCCTTCTGGTTTTGGTCCTGTCACATTTAAATCTTGTCACATTTATTTTATTTTTGCTTTGTTATTTCCCCATTCTGCCGTGGTTTTAAAAACTCTGCCATGAGAATTGCTCACAAAAACTACTCTCTCGTTTTGTTTCCACATCTCTATTTTTTCTTTCATTCGTCTTAGTTCCTTCCTTTGGATACTTCTACCCGCTGCCTTACTCTTCTGTGATTCCTTTCAGTCCTGCCTATTTTTCTACCTCTTTTTTACACAAAATTCTAACTTTTATTCAGCTTCCAATGAGTTACTGTTAGTCTGTTTGCTTTTTTTTTAATAAGCCTATCAATAGATTTTACTTTTTCTTTTTTAGTAAGATTTTAAAAAAAGATTTACTTATTTATGCATACAGAACTGGGGTACAGGCTACAGGACAGAGGTGCAGGGGCAGCGAGAGGATTCACCAGAGACAGAGTGGGGAGCAGAACAGACAGATCGACTCAATGAAGTACATTGCTGAGGGGAGCAGGGGGAGAGGTCAGCTGTGCCATGTGGGTCACCTGGGGGGGGTAGGGATCCAACTCACACTGAAGCAGCTGCGGCCACTTGCTGTGCTTTAACCCGTTGTGACACCAGAGAGGGCTCTTTTTATTTTTTAAAAAGATTTATGTTATTAATTTTTGCATTTAAGAGCTGGCGTGTAGACTAGAGGTGCCAGGTTGAGCGGATTCACCAGAGTCAGAGTGGGGAGCAGAACAGGCAGATTGACAGACATACACTGCTGAGGGGAGCAGTGGGAAGGACAGGTGAGGTTAGCTCCCTAACTGGGGATCAGTGCAGTGGCTGTGGTAACCTCAAGGTGCTGAGACTTAGCTCCAGGCGACACCAGGGAGGCTTCCACTCTCAGTCTGTTGATAAACTCTGCACTATTGCTGCAGGACCTCTGTTCTTCTGCCTATGTCCAACTCAACATATTTCACACTTTCTCTTTCAGTCAATCTGCTTTGACACCCTTCCCCCCTGCCCAGCTCCTCCCCCAGTTTCTCAGCTCTGCTGCCTAATCTCCCTCTTATCTATTTCCTCATCTCTTCTTTCCTGCTCTTTATCTGCCTCTATGAATTCCCTCTGTCCTGATTCTGGCTACTCCTCCTTATCAGTCACTTACACTCATTATTTCACTGTCTAGCCTGTTTGTACTGTCCACCCATGGAATCCCTTTCTGCCTGTCTTCATTTCTATTTTTCTTATCTTCATTGTTTATGAGTGTTCTAATAATTCTTTGATTGGCTCCTCTCAAGCATCTGTTAATACCTAGGTTTTTCTGCCAAAGTTCTTTGTCTCACCATCCATTTTTCTTTCGTCGCTCTTCTATGTACTAAATCTTTCTCTGCCCTTAACCTGTGTGTCAGTCTATCACCCCATTTGCGTTTCTTTAGTTCAATTTTTTGAAAGGGTTCCCCCACCCTTTTTCTTTCACTCCTGTATCTTTTCTGTGAATGATGAGTTATCTCTTTCTGTCCACTGTTTAGTAGAACAGCAATCTTAATCTGTATACTTTCCATAACCTGGGTGTTTTTTCCTAAAAAAGGGAAGAGCCTTGTACAATAGAAAAATATTTAGCAGAGAGGTGAATCCTCTCAACCTGGCACCTCTAGTCTACACGCCAGCTCTTAAATGCAAATTAATGTTAAATTAATAACATAAACAAAAAATATTTTGTAGGGGAGAAAGCAGAGGATTCACCTCTGCAATCAGTGGATGTCTCCCCTAATCTGATTCCATCTCTGCCCTTACAAGAGCCTGGCCTGGGAAGACCCTACACAAGGCACCCAGAATGTGTATGCTATCTGTTGTGACTCTGGAATTCAGTTCTGGTCTAAGAAAGATGACTGTCCTAGCTCCAACCTCATTTCTCTAAAAATCTGAAAAGGTCAGAAGAGACTAAAAAAACTGCAAAGGCACATGCTGGATGACACTAGGATGAGGGTTAAGTACAAACATAATAGTGTAGCTTTAAGAACCAGAAATAGGCCCATACCCCCACCCCATCGTGATGCAAGAGGTTAAACCTCAGCACTATGAAGCTAGTGGCTGCCACTGCAGCATGAGTTCCATCCCCAGCCAGGGAGCTGACCCACATGGCACAGCAGACCTCTCCTGAAGCTATCAGCACTCGCTTCTGCAGAATTTTGATCCCCAGCCTGGGAGGTGACCCACATGGCCCCACAGACCTCTCCTGTCTCACCCGCTGCTCCCCTCAGCAGTGTATTTCAGTACATCTGCCTGTTCTGCTCCCTGCTCTGGCACTGGTGAGTCCTCTCACTCCTTGCCCTGGGCACCTCTGGCCTGCACCCCAGCTCTTATATGCATAAGTAAATAAAATAACTTGAAAAAAAAAAAGCAGCAATATTAGCAGCAATTGCTTTGCCCTAGGTTTTTCTTTCTCTTGGCAACTATTTTGTCCATCCCTACTAACTAGAGACAGCATCTGCTCGGCTTCCGGCCACTGTCAGAACTTGGTTGCAGGTGGGGCCTCTTTTACCCTCTGACCCTATCTCCTCTACACTAGATCTCTTTGCTCCTAGCAGTACCTCACCTTCCTTCATATGTCCCTGTGCCAAAGCAAAGAAACTTCGTTTCCACTAGCAGTTTCATCCAGCTTCATGCCTCCTGCCACACTTTACTGATAGCATTGACTGTACTGTTTGAGGTCATTTACTGGACCTATGGTCATCTGATGGTGGAATTCAGTAAACAATAGTTCCCATCCACCCACTAATTTTAGCATTTCCTCTCAGCTCCTAGGAATGGGGGGGAGGGTATGATTTAGCTGGAAGAGGAACTGAGATACTGAAAATCCAGTCCAGCTTTTACCCCCATGGGCAAAGTACATTGAAGTTCACCATTTTGTCCTGGTTCTACATCCCCCAGTTCAGGCTGGAGAGAAGCCTAAGTCTTCTCCCTAGTCTTTCTTGCAAAGATTAGAAACATCCCTGGTGATAGGCTGACCATCACCTGTCCTGATGTCCCTGGTTTCTTTGTCCCCAGGAGTAGGTAGACGGGGCCGAGACTGCAGGACATCACTAACCAAGATGCGGACACCCAATATGATGCTCATGACACCCACCGTCATCAGCCCAATTCCACCAAGGACAACCAGAGCAGGAGGCACCTGTTGGTGCTGTTGGACAAGCCACATACTCATCCACCCTAGTGGCACCAGACGGAAGGGGGCAAGGGTGGCCAGAGTGGCCCAGCTGGCCATGCTGAAGGCCAAGGATGGGGCCTGGTGAGAAAGCAGCAGCAACTTCCGTAGGTGTAGACAGGCAGAGTTCAGCTCCAGGAGCAGAGACACCACCGAGAAGCCCACGTAGTGGCCAGACAGAATGGCAGTGCTGAGGCAGCTTACTACCTGGGTAGCCAGGAACAGAGGACAGAGGATTTTCCATGACCTGCCACCCATCACGTCCCAATATACTAGTCCTTAACATAGGGATTCCCAAGCATTTTGTGGCACCCCTCACAACACTCAACCTTTATAGTTTACCCTTATGTTAGGGACCTGGATGGTCTCAAAACAGCCTTCCCACAGGACAGGGGCACTCTTGATTCAGAGGCTGTCTCTCCTGGGGTTGCAGTATCTGTATAGTACCCCCTCTAACTTCCATTCCTTTCATGGAATTTCATGCCCCACCACTGCTCCCTATATTGGGACTTGCCCTTCTAAGATCTGCAGCCAATATTTCTGCCACTGACTGGACACCTGCAGGGATCCAAGCCCTTTATAAGCAGTACTAGACTTCCAGCTGTGGCCATCAATCATCTCCATCCCTCCAATTCAGTCCATCCTTAGCAGGATCAAGCACCAGTGGGGGTCAGAGACTCTGGGAAGTCACAGGGCAGAAAGTTAAAAAGTGTCTGGGGATTCCGGACTGCGTACACCTCCCTCTTTCCCTATCTCTCCTTTCGCGGGGTCTCACCACCAAATGGTGACAGAGAAGTTCCCAGGCCTGGCGCAAGGTCTGGTTCCACAGCAAATCAGTTCCATCAGCCAGAAAATAACCTGTGGGCATGGGGGGGGGGGTGGAGGTAGTATTAGGCTTCCCTCAAACTGGTATATAACTTGGAAAGGAATCTCCATTCCCTTTTCCAGTGCCTTAGTTTCTCTTCAAAACAAAAACAAGAAAACACCAAGAACAATTTAACTTTTACAGGGGAGAGAGAAGGGACCTGAAATTACTGTTGGAAGGTTACCCCCCCCACACACACACCCCAAACTAACCCAATCTTCTCTGCAAACTCACCCACAGATACAGCCACCAGCACCAGGGCCCAGGGCGGGTGGCCACGAATTGGGTCGGCAGCCATCTGAGGGTACAGTGATAGCCTGGAGGAGTTGGGGGCCATGGTCAGCACTGTGCAGACTCGGATCCCATTCTCCGGCTGTGCACGCCCTCTCAGCCCTTCACAGCCCCATTCCAGTCCTGGACTCTCAAGGTTTCCTATCAAAACTAAAGATGCGGTCCGGGTCTTCAAATCTCAACCTTCTACCTCCCTCTCCCTCATCCCGGTACCTCCCACACCTCTAAACCCCGCACCCGAGCAGCGCCCCAGCCCCCGTGAGCGTGCTGTGCACCAGCGAGACACAGATATTCCGCCACTTCCAACGGTCCCGAGCAGCAGATCCTGGTGTGGGCAGCAGTTGCAGCCCCCAGTGCAGCCCCCTGAAGGCGGCGAAGGAGGCTCCGGTCACGAGGAGTCCGGGGGACGCCATGGCTCGGCGGCTGGACTAGATTCGGATGCGTCCTCTGGGGCTCAGCGCTCTCTGCAGAAAGAATCCAACGCCCCCTGCGGAGACCGTGAACTGGCTTCACCGCAAAGCAGGTCCCCGGGCGCCCCCGCTCGCCCCGCCTTGGGGATCGGTTGTAACTTTTCCAGGCTTGTCCACGCCTCCGTACCTCGACTGGGCGGTGATTGGAGCAGCCGCCAGGCTACGCCCCTGGAGCCACGGCAACCGAGAGCGTCCCGCTCTAGCGTGCGAGGGCGGGCTGGGGGCTTCCGGGGGACCTGGCGGCCAGAGCCCAGCGTGGGGTATTCTGGGATGGCGATGGGGCTCTTCCCGAACCCCACGAAGCCGGAACCTCTCGGAGCTCCACAAATAGGTTATTAATGTCACCGGTATTCCCGAAGCCCCGCCCCACCAACTTTCACCTGTCTTCCCTACTCTAACCTCCTGCTATTGGTTGTGCCTCGCACCCAACCCGCAGCCCTGAATTTAGAAACCAGCGCAATCCCATGCCCACCTACTTAAGCCAGGCTACCGCATAGCCTCGCAAAGCCTCCCCCAACCCCGGACTCAGATGTGGGCGAGGCACTTCTTGGAGGCACCCATTCTACCTCCTTAGGTTTCCAGATCTTAACAAACCCTAGACATTTTATAATTCCAGGTGTCCAGCTCCCTTACACAGCGCCGCTTAAACAGAACTCCCATCTGGAGAAGCCATTCATTCTGGGAAAAGATTCCTCCCCAACCTTTTTGGGGGCCCTCCACATCTTGACAAGGAAGGGAAGGCCTGAGGGACCCACACAGCACTATGGTCCTGAAGAGCACTCCTCCCCAGGGCTTGGTACCTGTTAGATGGAAAAGAGAGTAAGTCTTCCAATCTGAGGTGCCAAGGAGATGTCACTCAGGGTCACCTCAAGCCTCAGGCAGAATCAAAGAGAAAAATGAAGATTAATCCTGTGTTCAGCAGCAGTAGCACTTAGGATTCTAGAACCTTTCAGCCTGGAAAGGAGAATCTCCCTCCATCCCCCATCTCCTGAAGAGTGACAGATTTTCACTCTTTCCCGTATGTCTTACTCCAGTCCACACTTCTTTAAGCTGGAAGACATCCAGCAATTCAGAGAGCTGTTCCCTGTACACTGAGAGTAGATTCCAGTTATTCCTAAAGAAGGAAGTTCATAAGCTATTAGATGCTCCCCAAATGTCTTCATAACACCTTTCGTCCACCCAAACCCCATTATACCCAAGGGACAAGGAGCATCTCTTCATTCTGACACCCCCCCTTGTTTTTAAATTAGTTATTTTAAAATTTATGAAACAAAAAATATACAGAATTAATGTAGAAAATTTGGGAATTATTGTACAACCAAGAAGAAAATCGTAACTACTTTATTCACCATTCAAAAATAACCACTATTATTCACATTTTGGATTATGTCCTCAGTTTGTTATTTTTAAAAAGATTTATTTTATTTATGCATACAAGAGCTGGGGTATAGGCCAGAGATGTGTGTGCGGGAGGGGCAGAGGTGAGAGGCTTCACCAGAGACAAGAGTGGGGAGCAGAACAGGCAGATCTACTGAAATACACTGCTGAGGGGAGCAGCGGGGGAGACAGGAAAGGTCTGTTGCGGCATGTGGGTTAGTTCCCTGGCCCAGAATTCAACTAGTGCTGCGATTTAACCAGGAAGGCCCTGTCCTCAGTTTGTTTTATAAATACAAGTATTTTTTAAAAATTGAGATCACATAATACACATGCTATTTTTATAGCCTTTTTAATATTCAAAGAACATTTTTCTTCCAAGTTAAATGTTTTTCTACATGACTTTTAATGGCTGCACAGTATTCCACCATCTGGATGGATATATAATAATTTACTTAGGCAACCCCTCATTGCAAATTTTCATTACAGGAGAAAAGACATGCATTCCCAGTCTGACAGTTGCTTCCCATTTTTCTATATTGCAATGGTGGGATGAACATCTCATAACTGAATCTTCATTTTCTTAAGATAAATTCCTCAGTGTAGAATTACTTGGTCAAAGACCATTGAAACATTCAGGGTGGTTTTTATTACCAGACTGACATCCAGGAAGCCTCACCAATTTGTACCCCCATATGCATTCTACTGGAGTATCACTTTAGTACCCCTTTGCCAATAACTAAGTCTTATTTCTTCTATTTATAGTTTGCTATGGGAAAAATGCATTCAGCATTATTTGCTTTTCTTTAATTACTAGTGAAGCACACTTTTTTTCATGGATTGATCTTCAAATTTGTTTTAGGAATTTCCTGTGTATGTCCTTTTACAGTTGGCTCTTCCCTAGTGAGACTGCTTATATAAAAATTAAGAGGGTCAGGGAGAGGTAGAAGTAGGAGGATGGAGCCACAGGCTGGACACTTTAATATGGTCCCACATCTCTGAGGGAAGCAGAAAGACTGGAGAAAAATGGTGAATGAAGTACAGGGTTGGAAGCTTGTCCATGATGGGAGCTGGCTGTTCTTCCTTCCGGTGTACTTCTGGTCTTTATGGGCAACCTCTGCAGGATGCCCAAGCAGGTCCCTGTCCTCTCCAGGCTTCTGTGTTCCCAAACCGCTCTTCCTCACCTTTGCTCCATGAGGGGCGAGGATCACAAAGCCACATACCCGTGGCTAGAGAGAGACACTGGCCAGTAAAGCAAGGTGGGGAACAAAGGGCAGAAGCAATATCCTGGTACAGAGCAATCTTTGTTGCAACTTATGAGTGAACTCAGTCTACCCACCCACCCCCTTCCACTGTTCCGCACATATCCAGCTTGGTTGCAGAGAAGGCGGGTCTACTCTTCTCTCACAATTCTTTTAGTTTCTCATAAATGAAGAATAAAGTCTAATGATCACAACTGATCTAAGGTCATAAATGAAGATTAAGATCTGTTTGCAGGGATATAAACAACTTCCTGCAGCCCTGAACTTGGCTTCTTTCATACAGCTGGGCTGGGTCAAGGTTGAATCACACCAGAGTCTAAGTCCAAGGGTGAGATTGGGTCAGGGGCTGGGGGGTGACAGGTTTACACTGTTTGGGAGTCACATTCCACAAACCATCTCTCCTGGCAGCTGGAGGGTAGAGTGTCCTGCCTGCATGGGCAATAGCTGAGTCCTACACACTGTAATGGAAAGTAAGTTCAGGAAAGAAATAGCAGCAGCTGGTACTTCATCAGGGGCTGCAGTCCTGCTTCAGTGACAGGGAAGGCCTGGGACCACCCTTGTACGTTGGGTAGTCAGTGAAGACACTGAGCTCCTTCTAGCCCCTATATTGGTCTGACCCTAGCCTCTCCCCCACTAAGACCCCTTTCCCTAGTTCCTCGATGTGATCAGGGATGTAAAAAGATTTTGTTACTACCCTCCCACCCATAGTGGAGAAGAGTCCATGCTCTGAGTCTGTACAACTTCTTATTCCCTCCTGCACTAAGCTGGGTGATTCCCTATGTCACCAGTGGAGGATCTGCGATAGGAGTCTAAGGGTTCCACACAGGAACCCTTTGAATCTAAAGTCTGGATCACTTTAAGGAAATACAAGAAAAGAAAGACCAGAATACTTACAATATGGCCTTTCCTCTAAAGAGGAAACTTATTTTTGGACCTCACCTGGAACAGCCAGTGGGAAAGAATGGGGGCTACGGAAGGTGGATCAAAAAAAGAAATGTGGGTAAAGAGATTTTCTTTGCTCTTTACACAAAGACCAACTAATGTTGGCAGTCATTTATTCCCCAGTTCAGCCAGAGTCTCTAATTTAAAATTGTTCTCTCTTGCTAGGCCAATCTGTGTGCATGCTTTCTAACTGAACAGGTTCCTTTTCTCAAAAGATTCTCACTCTTGCTGTTCAGGCTTTCCCAGGCCCAGTCTGTCACCTTCCAAATGAGGGGAAAAGCAGCTCCTTCTCTTCCTCTTCCTCCTCCTTGAAGCCAAGGGCAGAGGGCAACAGTTCTTCAACTGGCAGCTTTAGCTGGGTCAGGACATAAAGCTTGCCACTGAAGAACTACTGCGGCTCAGCCAGGTGAGGATGTGGGAGGTACAGGTACCTAAAGACAAAAGGAAGAAAAATGGGCAAGATCTGAGCAGGGCTATGGCACAGGAACACTCTCAGACTGGCAATCAAAGACCAGCTCCAGGAGAAGCCCAACTCTCTATGAGGGATTCTTAACTCTTGACCTGGCTTCTTGGAGCTCTTAACTTTAGTGAGACACAAGAGGCCACTCTAAACACATTTTCTTTGTTCCCCTTTCCAGAACTGAAAGGCTACAGAAACCTAGACCAGCAGCAGCTGCCCATGAGGGGCCTCAGTCTCCTGAGCATTCGGAATGGGCAGGACCCAGAATCTTGGACTGACACAACCCACCAGTCACCCAGTTACTAAGTGAGAAACTGCACTTCAGATCCAGAAATATTAGTTTAGTGATCAGCCCAAATGACTGTTCCCAGGGAATTCAGCCGGAAAGAGAGTTTGGGGGCCTACATCTGGGGAAGAGTAAGGAAGGGAGGAGTTCTAGAGTTTCTGGAAGAAGGTCAGCAGAGGCTCCTGGGACTGTGTGGAGAGACTGGGAGACCAAGTGCTGGAGGAGAAGGAGGTATGGGTAGGGTGGTTGGGCAGCTTCCCCAGGACTCTCAAATGCCTGGCATTCCGCTTGCGCATTCCGGGTACATCTGGTATGAATTCCAGGCTGTCTGCCGGCCCCTCTAAGTCTGAACTTTGTTCCAAGTTCCAAGCCCCGCCCCCACAGTTCCAACGCATGAATCAGCAGGAAAAGCCCGGCCCTGCAGCATGGCCCTGGGAGGGGGCTGGGGGCGTGGCAGGCTTGAGGACTGAGCTGGGGAGGGCAGGTTTGTGCTGACACCTAGTCCAAGGGCATGGTCCATGCCAGCGTAGGGGCTAATGTGGTCTTGTCTTGAGATTTCTATAGCCAGAGGGTATGAGAGATTAGGGTGAGGGTGGCAGTTTTTCAAATTACAAAACCG